TTTTTGCCATAGGGCGTGTGTGCTCGCCAGACAGAGAGAGACAGAAAGTGAGAAATCACCCCCCAGGGGGGATGGCCATGCCACAATCCCTTCTCCTCCATTCTCCTCTCAGGATCTTGGGCATGCACGCACACGCGCCCGGTGTGAGTTTAAGCTACCGGGTCCGGAACTCGAATCGTGGTCGACTATGTGGGAGTCCAGCAACATAGCCGTTACGCTAACTGCTGGTCCCAATCTTGACTCTTCTTTCCTTCACCCACCATGCAATCACCACTCTTGTAATTTTCACCTCCTGAATAGCTCCCAAACCTATTTATGGATCAATAATTTCTTCATTTCTTCTGCCGTTACTCTAGTTTAGGCCAGCACCATTTCTAACTTGCAATACTGTTATGGTCTCCCTGTTTCAGTCTTGTCCTTTGGAATCTACTCTATGTAGGCAATATGTATCTTTTGACAAGGTAAATCAAGTCTATCACTCCCATGTTTAGAACCTTTTAGCGAATTTGCACTGGTTCAAAAGGACACCTACCTTCTTTAGCAGGAAAAGATAAGATGAGCTTTTCTAGACTCCATGGGGAAATTCTTCAACTGTTCCTTAATCTCTCTAGTCTCAGAGATTTTGCATATGCTATTGCTTCTGTGTGAAACTCTCCTCACATCCCCTCAGTCCACTTCATTTGTTCTTTGGATCTCAGCTCATCAGCGAATGACTTTGGAGTACGCACTATGGGCCAAGGATCATATGAGGCAGTAGCTATGCTATAGGGGTGAGACAGACTCCAAGACAGTGGCGAACAAACTGAAGCCTCAGGTTTATCTCTGGTATTGGAAAGGATGTAAAATAAACACATAATTATAACTTATAAAAATGCGTAATTACGGGGCTGGAAGGTGGTATGGTGGTTAAGGGCACTGGACTCCCACATGGCCGACTGTAGCTCAAGTCCTGGACCTGGCAGCTTGCTTTCTCACTTGCCCTCTCTTTCACTCTGTCCCTCTTCTGTTCAAATTTAAATAAATAAATAAATAAAGTTAAATAAAATAATTCTAAAAAATGCATAATTAGAAATTGTAGTAAGGCTATAAGGGAACAGGAGGGGTAAGGCAAGGCCTAATATTTAAGTTTAGCCATGAAGAGTGAGTAGGAGTCAGCAGATAAGCAGAGGGAGACACAAACATTCTTGGCCGAGGACACAGCAAGTGGGAAGGCCCTGGGAAGAAAGGAAAATGGCATAATTAGCTAAAGGAAGGCTAGTAGCTGAAGCATAGCAAGCTAAGTGCAAATGGGGTGAGGCATGAGGTCAAAGAGGTAGGCAGGAACCAGATTATGTAGGGCTTTTTAGGCCACAGTAAAGAATGGATTTTATTCTATGAGT